AATAAAGCATATAAATCTTTAACCTACGGTGGCGCGTGATTACGTCAGCGGAAGTTGTTAGCGCTCAGCAGTCTGCAATTGCAGCTTACGATCAGAGCTGTTGCGCTATATCTTTGATGTCATTATTCTCATTCAGAGTTTGCTTCGTGTACAATTCACCGAGGCCACGGGCAAAGAATAGGAATCTAGAGGGCTGAGGGAAGCACTTTAAAACGGTACGTGTGAGCTACGATAGTCAACAGGCTGCAAAAGTACGTCGCTTGGTTCCGTGTTTGGCTTCTCATCATGGCGCACGTGCTTGCGAGTGCGTGTGCGCGCGCGCCTGTGTGTGTGCGCGCGCGCGATAAGGGGCGATCCGGGGAGGTTGGTTGAACGAAAAGTAGATCTTCGGTCCAAAAAGTTTGGGCACCCCTGGTCTAATCATTAACAAGTCTGCTGCCGCAGGATCGCAGGCCTGTATGTGCTGTATGTGAAACACACAGCACACTTGAAATTTCGTCCCTTTCACATTTTTTGGCTTTTTTTTTTTTATAAATCCTACTTAACGGATTTCACTTATCACTGGTTCTTTTTGGAACGTAACCCCGAGATAAAAGAGGGATTACTGTATTCTTGAACCACTTGGAGTATCAGCATAGTTTTGGTCTCTTTATGAAATATTCAAAATGTTATTATTATTAATATTTCTCCCATACAGTAAGAATCTGTGTAAGTGCTCCTGTCACTGAACTATGGATGTTCGAAAACAGACAAAAAAGGCGAATCTTTTGTTCGTCTAATTTCTTTTCACAATCTCTGCCTTGAAAATGGATTTAGAATGTTGATTAGGACTTGAAAACGCACCAGGATCAAAGCTTAAGTCTCCCCAAGCTTCCGTTCAAATTTGACAATTGTAACATGTAGGGAACCATTCAAATCTCCAGAAACTCAGCTTTTAAAAGATGTATAACATGTTCACACATGACGACGTGCATCAGCGATTTGTTTGGCGGGGCCCTCCTAACTTTAAGGGGATTTATTAATGTTGCTTTCTTGTTCAGCAATTTTGTGCCATCCTTGAATGGTCATTTTTATTATGCAAGAGAGCCCTTTTGCATTGGAAAAAAAAACATTACAGTATGAAGTTGTTTGTGTTGTTTGCTTCAAAGCCTTTGTTGTTGGGTTAGGATAGTGGATCTTTTATACCGACTTCGAAAAATGGATTTTCAATATATTAAGTCTACACATTTTGCCTGTTTTTGTCATGCATCTGGTTTGGAAATATGTGGCCCAGTTGAACTGATGAAAAATGATGCCCCCCCCCTTCAGCATTTTACACTGATTTAGCCCATTAAATCTAACTTGAATATAGGCTTGCAATGACTTCCCAAAACAATTGATGTGCTCTCTGCTTCTCTAACATCATTCTTTTTTCCTGCATGTGAAGGCAACATTTCAAAGCTCTTTCCACATCAGTACCGAGTATCAGTGGAATGACACTATTGCAATTAGTGTCACTGGAGAAAGGTAGTGTCACTATGGTTTGATTCATGTTTTAATATTTTATGACACTTTATGACCTATTTCGTTTTCTCAGTGATAATAACAACTCCACCCTGTCTCTGCTGACCAAGACGCTACCGGTACAATTTGAAGTAAAAATGGCAATAACAGTGTAAGTCCTCATTAACATGATTATTTTATTGTGAGACAAGTGCTTTTGCCCTATGTATATTTTGATTTGTTTTGTGTGTGTGTGTGTGTGTATGTGTGTGTGTATGTGTATGTGTGTGTGTGTGTACTGTATACCTTTAAATTGTCTCATTTAAATTGTCTCCAGCACCTTAAGAGGTTACGAAATTTAAGCTACTAGCTCATGATGATGCAAAGCTGGGAACTGAAAGTCATTCCTGGTCATAAAGCATGATCCACATCATAAAGCTGGCAGACAAAACACCAAGATGTGGAAAGCTATGATCTAGGCAAAAGTAGGGCCTAGTTTGCAGAATGTAACTCATAAAAGTTTTTGATTAACATTTGTTTGCCAAATAATTCCATCAATATTTCTTCAGAATGTCGATGACTTCAGTTTTAAAATTAAGGACTTGTATTTTTTATTATGAAAAAAAAAAACTGGGAGGGTGTTTCCAAACTTTTGACTGGTACTTGGGAATTTATTTTTTGTGTTGTTCTGTTAAGGAAAGAGGAAACCACCACTTATCTGAACTTCACAGAAGAGGACTCAGACCCAAAAAGAATGGTCATCATATATAAGGTGAAATCAATCATTTGACTGTATGTGTGTGGCATAGGCGCTCATCTGTTTAAACATAAGCCGCCGATGGCACATGGTCATTCGACGACAAGTACTGTGCTTTGCAAATTAACACAGCTAAGAGCAGAAGTGATTATTTGCTATCATCACTTGCTATGGGCAGTTTGGTAGCTTTAGAGGTGCAGGCGAACGGTTCAGACTTTCAGGCGTCTATCGACACTAGGATATCAATCTCAGTTGCAAGTCCTCATTTAAAACACACTCACTCGTGGCAGGTGGATAACCCGGGCTGGAAGGCTTTTCCTGTCAATGTCTCACTGAACTTTCCAACTCATCTCCAGTACAACTTTGAAATGGAAAATTATCAAGTCTTTGTACAACAGGTAACTTACATAACACCGCCATAAAACATGATCGCCGTCCGAATGTTTACATCAATCGCAATTCCATCTTATCTTCTTTTTTTAAGAACAAAACTCAGTGCAAAAACATCACTGGAATTCATTCTGAAGTAAGTCCGATCAGTATCACAGTTGTCGTTACGAATTGTTCAATGTCACAGTTTTGTTTATTCATTTATTTCAGTATTGTTCAGCAGAAAAACACTGCAAAATCATTCAGTGTGATAACGTGATGCTGGAAAAGGAATCTTCCACTGAGTTTATATTCTCCGGAGACATACAATTTAACGATTTTAAAGAGCGTGCACAGGTAAGTAGGAATTTCCTGCACGCGCTCACACAAACAAGCGATGCTAAATGCGTCTCATCTGGCAATTGATGTTATACCCCCGCTCCGCAGAATAAAGCGTTTCTGAAAAGATATACTGGAGAGAGTGCAGAGGTAAAGTTCAAAAGCATGATCCACATTGATTACGACAAACACCGATATGTGCTGGATCCTTCTCATGAACGAGAGGTAGGTTCAACTCAATCTGGCTCCAATGAATGCTTTCGACTGCATGCAAATAATGTCCAAATGTTCCAACTGTGACGCAAAGAATAAAGGACTGGCACATGAAAAGGGTGACGCCATGTGGAAAGAGAGCAATCCCACAACAAAATTGGTAGGTTTTACTGTACAAATTTTACCGAAAGAAAAAAAAACGCAAACCTGATCATTTCGCAAAAGTAATAATTGTATTTAAACTGTCAACAGAGTGAAGTTCACGTCGAGTTCATTATTTCGCCTGATACACAGTGCATAATTTTAACGGGAACTGGACTCGGACTTGCGCTTTTGATTCTCGTGACGTGCATCATGTATAAGGTGAGTGCTAATTTGTGAATGTCACTCCAAACGAGTGGTTGATTCTACTCAGGTTCATCCTCTCGCTTTTTTGTTTTATGAACAAAGCTGGGATGCTTTAAGAGAAAAACAGTCCAGTATTATCAAGAGCAGGAAGAGGAGGCTGTTCATCAGATGGGAAATGCTGCTCAGGACAACGGCCTTGCCAGCCAGCACGCGAGCGAACCGCTCGCTGAGGAAAAAACACTTCTTGAAGACAACCAGTCGGCTGACACAGAGGCAGCCCTGGAATAAATGACCATGATGGGATTCATACGCTCGAGCAAATTTATGGACATAGACGACGACACTGTCGAGAGAACAGTGCGATGATACACTAGTGTATCATTGACAGCTGTCAATTATTTTAGTAATTTACGGTTGACTATTTGATGTGGATGGGGGTTCATAGTGGCTGCATTTTGTCTTCGTGAATGTTTTCTGTCTCAACATCAGCTACAGGATGGATTGTGGATCTGCTGAGGATGTCAAATGCCCGTTATTGAGGAATGAAGCAGGTATAAATAAAGGTATATATTGTCTGGACAATTATTGAAAGTCTCGAATCTGTCAAGCATTAGACTTGACTGGTTGGTACACCCAGAATCTGAAATCTCCTATTACAACAAAATGGAGGTATTCACGGGACGTCATCGTCACTTTCAAACTTTGTGCCAACTACTGTGAACGGCTGAGGCAGATCAAGAAAAAACAGAACAAACGCAGGGGTCATCAGTCAGAAGGAGTCATCTTGCATCATGACAACGCAAGGCCTCACACAGCAGCCCAAATGGTGCAGACCATAAATGAGTTGGGTTGGGAACTGTTTCTTCATCCCCCTTGCAGCCCAGACTTTGCCCCTTCAGACTTTCACCTGTTTGGTCCCTTAAAAACGTTCACGAAAGCCACAAAGTTTGAAAGTGACAACGTCAAAAGTGTTGTGAGTGGCTGAGACATCAGTCCAAAGATTTTTAAACTGAGGGAATATGGAAGTTTGTGCAGATGGGAAAAGAGCGTGACAGTGCTGGGAGACTATGTTGAAAAAAAGAAACAAAAGTAAGCTTCTATCTGTATTGGAATTCCTTATACCAAAAAATTCACCTTATTTATTGAATACCCTCATATATTAGTCCTGTTGGCTTCATTGAGCTGCAACTGTGGTATTTTCTAGCTCACCCGTGAGCCCACGCACTGCGTGGTGACAAAGGGCAAGATAGCTTTTTTTTTTTTTTTTGGGGTCAGCATGTCTGGGCTCCCCTTTAGAGGTGGTGTGAGTAGCGTGGCTCTCTGAGAAAGAACCAGCTGAGGTGACTCGGCGGTGTGTTTTGGATACATCCCTTGTGTATTTGGCATGTTCAACTGAAAGACAGTCTCAGGGCAGACGGTGGGCACACCGGAGGGACGACATCTCACAACAGTCTTGGCTACACTGTGTCCCCTGAGGAACAACAGGAGAAAGTGGCTTAACCCTGGAGAACCCAAGAACCGCTTTCTTCTTTGGAAAATGATGAATTATACATTAAATGACTGAATAGGTTCACTGAACACCAAAATATGTTTTTTCAAGTATTCAATGCTTTAATCCTAATTTAAGATTAGGGCCAAATTTGACCCTTTGGGATTTAAGGGTAGCATTGGAGTAGCAGAATTTATAGGGGCCAAATCTGACACCGTGGGTTCTCCAGGGTTTTAAACCAGGGAAGCCTCCTGACCCTGCAGAATTAACCGTGATGAGTGAAGAATGTTGGATGGATTGATGGCACAAAGTCAAGAAAGATTTGTCATTCATTAAAAAATGTATTTTGTTACTGGTCAATCATTCCACATGGGGAAATTCCAGTTTTACAGCAGTGAGGTGCAAAATAGCAAGCAAGCATAAACCTAAAACAAACACATAGGGCAGTCAAAATCTTCCTTATGCAGCCTCAAAGTTGTTCATTCGCTTGGATGTCAAAACGGACAACTGTGGAGGAAATAATTATTGGGATCAATATGAATTTGGATCATAGGCAGATAGTTTCAGAATAATTAGATATGTCATAATCGACATCGGTGGCCTCATACATGATTATGAATGATGGCAAAATATCACATGATACAAGGGCAGCTGAAGGACATAAAATACAGAGGGCGTGCTTTGTAGTTCAGATGTCACATTGCGGATGTCGTACCTGTTGTGGGGCAGTTGCAGCCCTTTGCTCAGCATGGTTCAATCGCCTCTGGAGGCTACTTGACATCTCTTGATACTCTGCTAGCTGACTCTCATACTGCACACACATCAAAGTGGGAGAGCTACAGGAGGGCTACAATGTTAGCGTCGGAGCCACATTTAAAGGCACATCCACAAAAAAAAAGTGTGCACGAATGTGTGTTGGTGGGTGTGTGTGTGTGTGTGTATGCATATGCGCGAAAGAGAGAGATTTTCAGTTTAATTGTGCTTCATCCAAAAAAATTCAGTTCATTTAAGTTCTCTTTCATTGTGTTTCATTAGGTAAAGTTTAACTTTAATTACATTTGTTGGATTCAGCACTGTGAGTTTTTCTTTCATTATTGGAGGGATGCAGGGGCGTGGTAGCAATCAAGAATTTCGGGAAAATCCCGAATGGATGGTCAAGGCCGACTTGAGCTGGGGTTTTTTTTTGTTTGTTTGTTTTTGTGTCAGCCCTAGTTCTGATATATTTTAGAATGCATACAGCCAAATGTATGCGCAGCCACTTATTGTACACACGGCTGGTTGAACACGAGTCAGTGGCAGACACGCGTTTATGCTTCGTCAAACAGTCGCTTTTGTTCAAACAATAATTACAGGAGGGGTAGACTGCAAACCCTAAGCGTGTCGCATCTCACACCCAAAACCACCAGGGTGTGTGTGCGTGTGTGTGTGTGTGTGTGTGTGTGTGTGTGTGTACGTGTGTGTACGTGTGTGTACGTGTGTGTGCGTGCGCGTAAAAGATATTTATGGCATCTTTTTTTTTTACATAGATTACCTTTGTGTATTAAGAACACAATAGTTGTTATCATTATTATGATTATACATATGATTGTTAGCAGCAGAAACATCAGCTGTGAAGGCCATTTTTGGAGGCGGTATTGATGGATGGGGGATCCCAGGCATGGTGGTGAGGAGGTGGTGCTGATCTTGGAGGAGGAGGCACAAAGTGCTTTGAAGGGCAACACCATGTTTTACCATACTTTAGTTTGTACCATAAAAATGAGGAGACCTAAAATTACTGGGCGTGGGGGGGGGGGGGCACTTTCTAGCGACAATGCAGTGCGCCATTATGTTCAGCGTCAACTCAGGTTTGGGATTTAACACATTTCCCATGTTGTCACAATGTGTTTACATGCTGACCAGAAATCAACATGTCACCTGAAACCGACCGTGGAAGAGTCCATCGCAGATGCACGGTATTATTTGTGTGTCGCACAAACCTCAGTCATAGTGTCTTGGTTATTTCTCAGCTGTAGTTCTAACTCATGTAATCGCCATTTGTGTTGACTCATCTCTGTCCTAAAATGGAGCATGACACAATTACAGACAAGTCAAACCGCAAACACAACTGTCAACATTCATTTTGTTTGAGTTTGTCGGTCATGTGTAATGGATCTGTTCCAGATGAAATACCCTCAATCGGTGGCATATTTGCGTCACTCATTCACATCCACAATCTGATTGGATTGTGGATTGCATTCAAATGAAGCATGGAGTCAAGCAAAACTCAGTGCTTTGCATAAAAGTTTGTCCCATTACAAGTAATGAAGTTTACTTTGCATTGTGCCTGAACTGGCACCCTCCTGGACTCTAACCAATAAATTACTAATTTAATTAATGTTAGGCAGCACGATAGTCGACTGGTTAGCATGTTCGCCTCACAGTGCAGAGGTGCAGGGTTTTCCGGTTTCCTCCCACATTACAAAAACATGCATGGCAGGCTAATGGAACATTCTAAATTGTCCCTTGGTGTGGTTGTCAGCGTGAATGGTTGTTTGGTACACCACCTACTGCCCGAAGACAGCTGGGATATGCTCCAGCAAGCCCGCAAAATTAATTAATGAAAATTAATGTCACAGCCAGTTCAGTTCTTACGTGAGATGTTGAATCTTGGCTTCAAAGGCCTTTGTCATATTTGTTGCTTCATCCTGTGAGCGTTGAATACTTTTCTGCTGTGCAGCTAGGAGGTGCATCCGCTCAGCATTTAAGTTGCGGCTCCTCTCCTCCAGCACCATCATTTGCGCGTCAAATGCCTGCTCCTTCAACTTGCACTCTTGCACCATCTGTAATATCTGGGACCGGGCAGCAAATGCTGAAGTTTTCTTACATTCAAACAGAAAAAGCAGGCAATAACTTTTGTTGTCATTTGTAATTGTTGATTGATGAAAAAGGAATTCCCCATTGAAATTGGCTGTCAATGCCGAATAATTCTGTAGCTGAGGCTAAATGCGAAACAAAGAACTTAACTCGTGACCATAAGGCTAGTTAACATAACACAGCAGAGCATAGCAATCCCTAGATGCCATTTAGATAGAACTGTATACAATAGAAGAGCCTTTAATATTACTAGTCTTGCACCGGGGCAGTGGCGGGCCGTGCATTTCAACCTTAGACCTTCAGTGACGTCACATACATACACAATATAGGCTCGTCAAGCGGCACTTAATTTCAGGAGCATTTAAAACCATCAAGTATGCATTCACGATTAAGAGCAGGAAACTACATTTACAGATAGTCAAAAATAAAAAGATGATTTAAAAATACGAAATAAAATGCCACCCAAATTACGCCGTGTGATCTTAAACAAGTCTGTCCAATAAATTGCGCAATGTCGCAGTTTCATATAAGACACCAACCAAACAATAAGAAAACAAACTATTCTTTGAAAATAAACAGATCATTTGCATTTTGAAAATCGGCGATACAACAGCAAATAACTGACATAACTGACTAACTAATAACTGACGAACAGCTGAGATTGAACGAACTTTCGTGCACGAAGGTGACTACAATGCGCCATTATAAATTGCAGGTGAGCAGATTTATTTGATACACGTTTGTCATTTTATTTCGTTACCATGAATTTAATACTAACGAAATAAAATGACAAGAAGAAACGTAAAATAAAATTCCTTGACTCACCAATGTACTTCTCCACAGCGTCTGCTTATTTGAAAATAAA